CTGCCATAAGGACTATATCGTCGGCAAATCGAAGGTGAGTGATGTACTCGCCATTGATGTTAATACCGTATCCTTTCCAGTCCAGTCTTGAAAACGTCTTCCAATGCAGCGGTGAAGAGTTTCGGGGAAATAACGTCACCCTGTCTTACACCTCTCTGCAGTTGGATAGGTTCGAGCTCTGGTTCTGTACTCGGATAGCCATCGTAGCCCTACTGTACAAACACTTCCGCATTTCGATATAACGACAGTCAACTTGGCACCGCTGAAGGGACTGTAGCACTGCCCAAATTTCGACGGAATCAAAGGCTTTCTCATAGTCCACATACGCCAGGCAAAGTGGCAAATTGTACTCTTGGGTCTTCTGTACAATCTGCCGCAGGGTATGTATGTGGTCTATGGTACTGAAGCCTTTTCGGAAACTGGCTTGTTCGGGAGGCTGGAAGTCGTCGAGTCTGCGTGCGAGACGATTCGTAATGACTCTCGAAAACAGCACGTAGACGCGGCTCAGAAGGGAAATCGGTCTGTAGTTCTCTCTCTGTAGTCAAGAGAGCGTTGTCGCCTTTCTTAAAGAACAAGACCACCGCACTTCTGCTCCACGCCTCCGGAGTAGTGCCACCGTGGAGGACGGAATTGAAGAGCTTCTGATGGACTTCAAGTACCGGTGTTCCACCCGCTTTCAGAAGCTCCGCTGTAATTCCATCCTCGTCTGGGGCCCTGCCGTTTTTAAGGTGCTAGAGAGCCATTCTAATCTCGCTCAGACTGACGTCCGGGATATCATCGGAATAGTTTCGGATAAGACTTGCTCTTGGATCGTTACTCACACTTGCGTGTGGCTCCAACGATTATGTGTACAGCTGCCCATACAACCTCTCAATCTCACTCAAAATTTCAGGTATCCCGGAAACGATGCTGCCAAATTTAGTCTTCAGCTTTGACAGTTGGCTCTTTCTGGCAGACAGATCTCTGGCAAAGACTTTGGAGCCCTGGTTCCGCTCGATCGCTTCTTTAATACGAGCAGTATTAAAGTTGCGTAAGTCTCGCCGCATGCATTTGGAGATCTGTTTGTTCAGTTGCCTGTATGGTGTCAAATCTGTTGACGATTGCAGCCTCGTCTCCCGTCTAACAGCCATGAGATTAAGAGTGTGATCGGAGAATTTTTGTGTTTTTCTGCGGCGGGTCTTGCAGAACTTAGCTCCGACCGCATGGACAGTTTCCACGAGCTTGTCATTCATATCATCCACTGCATTGCAATCTTCTAGGCACTGAAAGCGGTTACGTAACTTGAGCTGAAAGGTTTCGGGATTCTGGATTAGAGAGAGGGGGACGAGGTTGCTTCATTAAACGAGACCTCTCCAAGTTAACGTTTAGGTTCAGTGTGCCTCTAACCATTCGGTGATCGCTGCCAGTTTTCACCCTTGCGATCACTGAGACATCACTGAACAGTTGGCGTCTGGTCGTCATAATGAAGGCAATCTCGTTTTTTGTTGAACCGTCGTTGTTCGACCGGGTCCACTTTCTATGGGGCCGCTTATGGAAGAAAGAGTTCATCATAAAAAGTCCCTCTTTCTCCATGAAGTCGGCCAGCTGCTGGCCCCTTGGATTCCGTTGCCCTATCCCAAATTTCCCTACCTTTAGCTCACCGTTTTTCTCCCATTAACACCGTATAGTGAGTTTTGGAGGAATGCATGGCTCTAGAAATGTCCTCATACATTTCCTCCACCTCCACATCGGGATGTTCCGACGTTGGCGCGTAAACCTGTATGACCTACAGCGAATACCGTTTGGTGATTCTGAGTATAAGGTACAATGCTCTCTTTAAAACGTTGTTAACGAGAGACTTGTGGTCGATAAATCCAACACCTCCTTGGGACAGATGGTCGCCCTCTCGGTAATAGAACAAGCTGCCGGATTCGAGAATCACCGTGTCCTCTCCCTCTCTTCGGACCTCGGATAATCCTATAATATTCCAGCGCAACTTGTCTATCTCTTCTTCCAGCTCCAGGATCTTCTCGTCAGTCCTTAGGGTGCGTGCGTTAAATGTTGCCAGGTCGAGTCGTCGTAGGTGGCAATCGAACCTCCACCGGAGATTCTTAGCACCCCCTGCCCCGCCGTTACCATGGTCGCCACCGTAGCCAGGAATAGCGGGGCTGCCGGGGACTGGGTGTCGTCTATTTATGTAATTCTTCATGGGGGGTATATTGCCATAGTTGCCACGCTTGGCGAGCGGGTTGGCAACCGCAGTTTTTTTTTGTACATTTGCTGCTATCAGGAAGATGCTGCTGCCCATCTCCTGCCTGTTTCCTTCTGTCACCTTTTACGACACCCATGGGAAGATATGGGGTAGTGGATATTCTTAACCGCCACTACACGGCGAGCAGAGCCTGAGCAGTTAATCTTTTGTAATTCGTTTGAAATTTGTTAAAATCAGCCAATAAGGCAATATATATTTTTCATATAAGTTAGGGTGAAAAAGGGGCACATACTCCACCACACCACCGCAAGTGGATACTGGGGTTCTTAGACACCTGATTGTAAGTAGACTGTAGTACCTTAGACACCTCATTCGATAGTAAATATGGCCATAGACATAATATCTATCATCGATTAACGATAAAAATGTAGATGCATTGTCATTCCTGAGAACAATGATGGCGTGTCTTAATACTGGGAATATCTCTTAGAATAGTAACAGAATGTCTTTATTGGCACCCACAAACTATATTGGGAATCTACTAAAGCATAATAATGAATGTTGAAGCACAAAACTTAAATATATAGTTTTTTTGAATAATTCGTGCTCTATAGATGCATTTATATATGCTTTTTATTATATACATATTTTACACGTCGTAGAGCCTTATTAATAGTATAGTTGTAGCACGAATGGGTCGGCTCGACCGGGGAAGGACCACACTCTCATAGAATAACAGCGTCAAATAGTAGCTTAATGCTGCTATGGTTCGTATGGTGAGTGTTTTTTTTTTTTTTTTTTTTATAGGATAGGGTGAAAAAACATGATGGTAAGTGGTTGTTGGTCCATAGAATTTTTGGAGGAAGAATTTATACGAAAAGTAATGTGTGTGTTTGAGCATGGCTCTGTAAAGAAGAGTGAGAGAACCGGAGACACTTTTTACTGGAAACGAGGCATTCGATATAAGTCCTCACGGGTGACAACGCATCTACATTTTGTTTCGTAATCGAGGATAGATGTAGATGTCTATGGGCCACAGCAACCACTTACGATCAGGTGGACTGTGTGCTCGTTTGTCACACTATCCTATAGAAAAAAAAATATACTAGCGATTCGCCCCGGCTTCGCACGGGTGATTTCTGGATATCTAAAACAGCGCGGCCTACCGGGTCCAATTGTGAATCGTTTAGAGTATCATACACACAAAAAAGTTTATCAAAATCTGCCCAGCCATTTTCGAGACTAACGGCATGCAATTGATTTTTATATATAGGCGCTTTAGGATAAGATCGGTGATGGGGCAAGACCGTATCAAATTTCTGGCTTTAATAAATAATGTGCTATATGTTTAAGTGTTAGTAATATCACAACACCATTTCATTCTGCCCCGACCACGGCTCCCAGCCAATCGCTCCGGTAAGTAGGGCGTGTGTTGCGCGGCATTTTATAAGAGAAGGTAATTTTGTTTTTGTCTATCCGGTCTATCCCCATCACTTTTATTTGCGATTTTTAGCGAGAATATTGCCTATTTGTTATTATTTTGTCTGAATACTAAGTTTTATGAAGTTATAATCCGATAAAACTGATCTAAACAGGGAAGATTGTTGTAGGCCGATATTCAATGTTTTCCCGAGCGAGTGAAGAGCGGATGAATTTTATTTGATCTTTATCCGTTACAAATATGGAAGTTGTCGTCAAACTTTCATTTCTTTCGAAGATTGCTCAAGTGACTATGGGGATCAGTATCACTATCAAATCTATTGTGCTTTAATGTGCCTAGTTGAGCTGATATTTTAGTATAGTCTATAACTTTTAAATACACATAAAAACCATTTATAATTCTTCGCATTTCGCAGTAATATGGTGATGAATGACGTTAACGTGCTGCTAACTTTTATATACTGAAATATTTCGCTTTCTTAAGGGTTACCACTGTAGGTGTTTATTAACTCAAAGGCTCTCAACAGCTGATAATAACAAAACTTATTTAGAATTAATCAATAGGCAAGGCAATACAGCCCCAGGACATTTTATCAGTCCTTACTGTTACATTTTATTTAATAAATCTAGATTATTTTTTACTAGGAAAGAAAATTTCCTAGTAAAAAAATCAAATGCATCCGATTTTTCGTTTGTATTGAGTAATTCCATCTTAAAGTTACAAATTCTTTATATCAGAAAAAAAAACAGAAAATCGTTTGGAACACTTATGTCTCTACTTACAGATCATATTTAAATATGTTTTTGAGCGCTAAGGATTGGACAAATCCCTTTTAATATGTATTTTGTTCTCTAAGCTACTGCTTAAGCGGTTGCTGCTACTGAAGCGGTTTTAAATTTACGCCCAGTTTTACCCCTTGATGGCCAATTCTTCATAATGCATATAAAAATGTCTTGTCTTCGCTAGTAGCTTTTAACTAGTTGAAAATCCGTCCGATATTACCCCAACGCACCTTAGAGAGATTTACAGCGGAATTTAATGGCAAAAAAGTCTAAACTGACAAGTTTTTATTTTGACATAATATACCGCGTGAAAAGTTTTAATGATATAAAAACAAAATGCCAGCGTGGTCATCATTGTGTAAATAAACTGGAATTGCATAATTTAATAGTAAAAAAAAGAGTTAATAATTAAAAAGATACTGAATATTTAATTGATGTAGGTAAATGAGGTGACTCGTTATTAGTTGTTTATAAATGGCTTAGTATAAAAATGGTCCCACTACATAGAGCAAGCATTCCGATGTAGTTCATGGTAGTAGTAGCACGTATATTATATAAAAATTTATAAAGTAATTCAAGAGTAAAAATGTTTTACATTATAGTAATATTCTCACTTTTTTTCTCAGCGTATGCACAAATTGACTCGGTGAGTGTACTTTATTTATATTAGTTACTTATACGAAAAGGGATATTAATTTAATAACCGATCCAGCAATGATTAATTGGAATTATGCCAGATATAGTATAGGTTAAATTGCGATTCAAGGCTGCTGTGTTTCTTTTGATGAGTGTAGAGTACCGGAATCTCTTTTACTGGTAACCAGGCATTTTATCTTAGCCCTGAGGATGATACAGCATCTATCTCAGAATACTAAGCCCACATTTTAATACTTAATTGAGGATCGAAATAGATCTCTATGTGCTACAAAATCTACTTACAATCGGGTGGATTCTGTGCTCGTTTGTCACCCGTGTTCTATAAAAAACCTAAAAATAAATATGTATGAAATATTTCTCAATTGTTATAAGCAGCACAAAATATGTATATGTATAATCAATATGTTTTATATACAACAACCAGACGAGAAAACTACAAAAATATAAAATATAAATAATATTTACAATGGAGTATTATGTATAATAAAGGCGCCATGTGAATAATAGGTACTTTCAGAAATATTATGTATTAACTTATACTTTTTCGTTCAATTAACTAAATGTTTTAGTCACAATAAAGTTTGTTTGTTAATTCTGTCATTCAGTGTATTTAATGGAAAAAAAACAATACCTTTATTACAGTGATTAGCATATATCAATATTTTATTTATACTGGATCGTAAAGTTAAATTGAAATTAAGTTAAATTTATTTTTCGATACGATTATTTTGTATATTATATTTGCTTATTTATTAATGATATTTTTATCTCAATATTTTCAAAGGTATCTATGTCAAATATAAAAAAATACTAAGTGTATGTTTAACAAAACTTATTAATATAACATTTAATATTACAAAAATATTTATTTGAATTAGTATAAGAGTCATAATGATTTCTTATTGATATTCAATAGTATAAGAGTCCTGCCCGTGACCATGAGTGCTGTAAAGCGTTCGAAACGTCGGGTATTTAAAAGTTAAATATACGCGATAAATTCCGTAAAAACTAGTATTATTTCAAAGTATAAGAGTCGTTCATAAATTCTGGGCATGCGAGAGTTAAAAGTGGACGAATTTGTTCCACTTTGACTTTAATGTGGAATCCTAAAAATAAAATAAAAGAATAATGAGCAAATTTAAATATAAAAAATTAGCCTAATTATGATAACTTATATATGTTTTCACAAAAAATGTGTATAACAATATATTCGTCCTATACTTAAGTACCCACAGAAATGTCGCATCTGAACAAATTAATTTCATAATCTATATTTCATGACACGAGATGGCGTCTTAGGAATATTTTGTTTTATTATTAATCTATAATACTTATTTATTGATTAAGTATCTTATAAACCGATGAAAAGTAATTCCTTGGTTTTTACTGACATTAATTGAATTATTTGTGCAATATCTAAAAACACAGGATGGCATATTTTTATTAAGAGATTTTTTTAAATCAACACAACAGGTGACAACTCTACAAGCGCCTAACGGGTGACTGATAAAAGTGCGGTGTATGCACCGCAGTTGAATGGAACAGAGTAGTTGAATGCCGTGTCGCCTCTAGTACATAGTACATAATAGCTCAATTGTTATTCGTTTATTTTTATTATTATTACATAGAATGTTATACATAAAAATAATTATAACAGTAATTTACCGACTAATACCACTGAATAATTATGTTCTAGTATTTTTGTACAGAGTTATGTAGATGTAATGTAATAATAAAATCTCTGGCACACCATTTCAAAACTAAAGAAATTGCAGGTGCATTGCCGGATTTTGAAGGAGTAGGCTATTTTATTGAAGTACTTAAGTCATATCGGTTCGCTGGCGATAACACATTTCAAAAAAAGTTGTGGGGGCAATGGAAATTCGCACGCTGGCTGACCGTCAAGCTTCCAAACAGCGTGGATAGTATTGATAACTTCCGATGGCAAAACTTGGCTTGTAGACTTGACTAAGTATTTGCATTAATACCAAAGAACGTTAACACGGAAATATGACACATAGGGTGCGTTTGGCAGAAAAAAGCGCTAGCTAGCGCTTGTAAGCAAAATGGCGATCGTAAGCGGTAAGCGCTGTCAAATCGTAAGTAGTAGCTATTTTCCTCTAAGACACTAAGTTAGCTTTAACCGGGGAACCTAACCTAATTTAAATATATGTTTGTGAAGTATTCATATTAAAAACTTACCAATTATGAATTTTTAATAACATGTATATGTCTATTCATGTCATTATATTACTTAAAACTAATATTGCAAAAAACAACTTATAAACTCTACTTCAAAACAAACAAATTAAATAAGCAAAATGGCGGATTGTGTCAGCGCTACTGAAGTAGCAATCGTGTCCTGGCCGAAAACTATTTTAGCGCTTGTAAGCGCTTGCTAGCGCTTTTTTCTGCCAAACGCACCCATAGTTAAATGATGACTAATGACGACAGGCCGTAGAAATGAGTATGTTTTGCTGTAGTTGAATAAAAAATGAGTTTTATAAAATATTTTAAGTGAGTCTAGAAACACACTTCTGTCGTAGTTCTTGTAGACTTTTGCGTTGATTATATTTATATTTAATAGTAATTGTGATAAGTAAGAATTTTACAAGTACAAATCAACTTTGAAAAGTTGTTAATATATTTATTGAAACAAATCTTTTAGAATGAAATTTTCCACTATGTTTGGAATTATAAGCTATATTTTGTTACTAGGCATAACAAACGTTAAGTTGCATAGTAAAGTATTGCATCTAATTTGTTAAATTAACATCTCTGACAAACATACAAAGATAGACGGAACGTTGCGTATATTGTGCACCGAAAGTGTGACGCCAGAACCAGTCCTGTCGTATAAACGAGAGTATATTTTTATATCTATGACCGGGCTCATGCTACGCTCAACTTGTTGTGAGAACACGTCGTCACGCACACATATGTAACTTAAATCATATGCAACCAACAACATTTCTTTAGGTGCATATGTGTGTACGTACATTAGTAGACTTTACGGACTGTTAAGAAAAAAAAGAAATGTACGTGAGGTCGTCTCAAGAAGCTAAGCTCTTTCTTTGTTGGTCTGAGATTAAAGTTTAAAACAAGTTGACATTTTCACATAATTTCTTAGTTGTCATATACCTGTTTCATATTTTTCAAGCACCAATCCAATTATTTGTGAAACAAACAGCATTCTTTTACGCAAAGAGTATTCATTATAATAGTGATATTTAATAATGATAGTAAAAATAATTTTCAGAGACCAGTAATTCATTTACCACCGGCTGTCGCCGAGGTTGTGAAGCAAATAACCGCGGACTGTTTGGCAGAGACAAAAGCTGAACCAGAAGTGGCGAAACGTTTCTTTGAGCTCAAATTTGATAAAGATGAAATAAGCAAAAAATTTTTATATTGCCTTACCCGCAAAACCAATTACGTGGATGAAGATGGCCACTTTAACGATGGCCTCATAACATTGTTTGATAGTAGCGATCGTAAAGAAGATGTTCAGAAGGTTATTGAAACTTGTAATAAAATTAAAAAGAAAGATCATTATGACACATTGTTTGAAACAGTAACGTGCTTTCATAAAAATACACCGGTATTAATACTTCAGTAAATTGAAGATGCAATTTTATAATGTAAGCTACGTAGATAAGAGATAACTGGAAAATGATATATTATTTCATTAAATAAATTTTTTCTTAATTTTACTTTTATTTTTGATTGACATTTATTCTACATAAAAAGGGTGTACGGATTCACATTTAAGGTTTATTTATTTGAAAACGTTCTAATCACTTACTTGTACTGGGTAAATGCAGACTAATGCCTTTTGACTATTGGTAGCTAGGCATTTAAATATACAAATTTTATTTTGGATCCTAAATCACCATATATCATGTTGGTTCCCGTCAACGCTCTTTTTATTTTGGGTCTTAAAATCTGTGCGATGGCTGTTTTTCCATCTGTCACTGGTTTACAACTTCGCGCTCTTTTTAAAATTATGCCTTTTTTAAGTGACTTGCCTTACTTAAGAAAAGGCATAATTAAAAAAAAGAGTTAACAGTCCACTCCATGGCAAATGGCTACTGTTGAAAAATAAGGCTACTGATTCTTAGTCATCTCTGAGAAGTAAGATGCCAAACAGCCTGTATTTATACTAGTACTCTATACGTTTCAAATCAGAACAAACCAGTAGGTGCTTTACTGCTGGACAACACAAACCTTAGTAATAGGATACCAATCCAGACAAACTCTAAGGGCAAAAAATAATATTTTATTGGTATTGTGAATTTTATTTGCCATTTTTGTTAAATCTGTAACAATGTTATCCATAACCGAAATAATTCATATAGGTCAGAAAATCCGCAAGTGGAAGTCGAAATATGAAAATGATAAAATAGAAGTTGATCGTTACAGTTGCTTTCTTGCAATTTTGCAATCTGTTACGAAGGCATATGTTCAGTAATAGCTTAGTTTGTTTTTAATCCACTCACAAGTTGTTCAAAAATATGTCGTATAACTGAAGGCATTCTTGCGATAAAACTAGTCGGTTATAAAATTAGTATGTTCACAACTGCTCTAGTCCTATTGGCGAAAGAACGGCGCATATGATGATCTCTAAGCTTTAACTTCTACACCAGCTGGACTTTAACTGATCTAGGCCTAGAGCTACACAAAATATTCTACGTAGTGGCCTGACAGAGTCCCAATCCCTGAACCTTCTTCCGAACTTTGCTCTACAGCGATGTTTTTAGTGCACATATTACTTTAATGTGTTACATTAATTTCGTCATTTAAAAAGTACGTGGTACGAAATTTATTTTCCAATTCAGATGGGCGCTTATGTCATCATCATCATCATCATTACAGCCCTTCACAAGTCTACTGCTGAACATAGGCCTCCCCCAAGGTATGCCACAAAGCACGGTCCTGAGCCACCTGCATCCATCGACTTCCTGCTTGTCTTACCAGGTCCATCTAGTAGGGGGTTACCCTATACTACGCTAACCGGTATGAGGCTGCCACTCGATAACCTTTCTTCCCCGTCGGTCTTCGGTTCTTCGAGCTATATGGCCGGCCCATTGCCACTTCAGCTTACTAATCCGTTGGGCTATGTCGGTCACTCTGGTTATACTGCGGAAATCCTCATTCTAAGTTTATCACGCAGAGAAACTCCAAGCATAGCCCTCTCCATAGCTCGCTGAGAGACTTTTAGCGTACTCATACGGCCAATTTGTACAATAGGGCTACGATGGCTATTCGAGTACAGAACCAGAGTACAAAACTTATCCAACTGCAGAGAGGTGTAAGACAGGGTGACGTTATTTCCCCGAAACTCTTCACCGCTGCATTGGAAGACGTTTTCAAGCTACTGGACTGGAAAGGATACGGTATTAACATCAATGGCGAGTACATCACTCACCTTCGATTTGCCGACGATATAGTCCTTATGGCAGAATCGCTGGAGGACTTAAGCACTATGCTCAATGACCTCAATAGTGCCTTCCAACGGATAGGTCTTGATATGAACATGAACAAAACAAAGATCATGTTTAATGTCCATGTCACACCTATGCCGGTAGTTGTTGGGAGCACTAAGCTCGAAGTTGTTGACGAGTACGTTTACCTGGGATAAATAGTCCGACTAGGTAAGTCCAACTTCGACCGAGAAGTCAATCGACGGATTCAAATCGGCTGAGCAGCGTTCGGAAAATTACGACACATCTTCTCGTCAGGTATACCTCAAAACCTGAAAACTAAGTTTTACAACCAGGCGTGTTGCCAGTGATGACCTACGTAACCGAGACGAGGTCATTCACTGCTGGAACCCATACTTTTCTAGAATACTGGGTTCGGCAATGGAAATGGTAAATAATTCATTTATATAATAGAAATATTCTTTTATAAAATAAAGGTAATAGGTATATTAATTTTAAAGTTGTATTGTTCTATTATTTATTATATTATGCGCTTATTTGCGCCATATAAATTATGAGGTCGCGCTATAAGTTGCGCAAATCGACAACTGATTTTCGAAATTAAGTAGCAAAGATTTATTATCACGTATAGATTCTTTACCGTGACTATGACTTTATCTCTGTATAAACAATACAAGGAATTAAAATAATTAAGGATAAAAGTTTATTACTATGCAAATTACAAACTAGTTGCTTGTAGTAGTAGTAAGTCATAAAATTATTTGATTTTGCAATATTGTAAATATGTTTGTTTTGAATTTCTGGCGAAATCAAAATGAAGAAAATAAAAATGATATTCCTTAGACTTTTTTTAAAATTTTTAACAATACATGAATTTCATGAAGCAGACGATAGAGGAGATAGTTAGTTTTCAATAATTTTTTTTCTAGAATATTGGGTTCGGTAATGGAAATGGTAAATAATGCATTTATATAATGAAAATATTCTTTTATAAAATAAAGGTATGAAGTATATTAATTTTAAAGTTGTATTGTTTTATTTTAATATAATTTTCCTTGTTGAGTAAATTATTACATATAATATGTCCAATATCATATCTGTTCATTTAAATCAAACTGAAGTGTATGTCTGTAATATCGAAATAACCGCCTTTTATTTAAGCTATTAATTAAGCTTAAATATGATAAAGATGAAATTAGCAAAAACAGGATGGAGATGGCCACTTTAACAATGGTATCATAACATTGTTTGATAGTAGCGATCGTAAAGATGTTCAGAACGTTATTGAAACTTGTAATAAAATAAAAAGAAAGATAATTATGACACATTGTTTGAAATAGTAACGTGCTTTTATAAAATACACCGGTATTATTAGTTCAGTAAATTGCATATACACTTTTATGATGTCAGCTACGTACGTACAAGATAATTCGAAAATGTTGTATTTGTTTTATTAGATAATATTTTCTTCTTAATTTTATTTCTGTTTCTGATTGAGATTTATTTTATTTACTTATTTGAATACCTCTTAATCGCTTATTTGTGCTAGGTGAAATGTTGACTAATTTCTCTTAACTGTTAGTGGCTATTTAAATAATCAAATTTTATTTTGGATCTTAAAATACCATATTTTATTAAAAAAAAAAACTTGGAGATTTGTTTGAGAATACGAAAATTTGATAAAATAAATTGTGCTTGTTAATTACCTCATATCTAAATAACGCTCCATTATCAGATCAGATCGCTAGTTTTATATAAATCAAGATGGAAGCGCTAGAATCCGAATGACAGTAGAGGTTGTCAAGTCGTCAGTAAATCATTCAACTTCCTTCCTTTTTAACATCTGCTTATTCATGGGCGCAGGCGGTCGAATCCAAGGGCTTTGGCAGCAAAGCGCTTCTTTCGAGGCTTCCTTCCTATGGGCTTCCCGAGAAAGTGTGTGATTGGATCACCAGCTTTCTGGGTGATTGGAGCCTCCAGGTCGTAGTAGACGGCGCATGCTCCGATTACAAGCCTATTCATTCTGCATATGAATGATGAGATTAACGTAAAAATTGACAAAACTCGTCATTCTAACCTCATCGAACTGAGTAATGTTGATCCAGTAAATGATTAGAATTTTAAGAATAGTTTACTAACTAATGGCCGTCTTACTTTTATAACACTCTAAGATTTACTTTATGCTTGTCAACATTTCTATAACGCTATCCATCATATTTTTGATTTAAATATGCCAAAGAAACGACAAAAATCGGATTTAGACAGACGATACAGTTTGATTTACGAGTGAAATTATTCAAGATACGAAGTATACATTAAAATAACATGCGGCTTGGAAATATCCGTATTCTGAAAAAACTTACTGTCGGTTTTCAAATCTTAGGGCGGATCTCAAATATATAAAAACTACATAGAAAGGACTAGCTGACTCGGCAAGCGTTGTTTTGCCATATAGATTATTTTTAGGAAATATTTTTTTAGTTAAATAAAATATAGCTAACACTATAAGTGTGTGGGTATGTAATTATAATTGAAAGAGGAATGAAGCGTTGTAGACAATTTAATTGTCAACTTTATTTAAGTTAGTAAATTATTCTTTATTAAAGTAACAAACATATATTAACTACCTTGCCAAGTAGACGTTGTTCTGCACTTTTCGACGACAATTTGTCACGTCCTATTAAAAATTCGAAAATTCGCAAAATAAAAATTGTGGGAGAAAAAAAACTATCCTATCTCTCAAGTTGGAACAAACTGCACACGGTGAGCAAATTTGATTAAATACGGTTAAGTAGTTTAGGAGTCCATCGCGGACAAACTACGTGACATGTAGTTTATTTAATATATTAAGATTGCAATTCTTGATAGCTATCTATACATCGAAAACAGTTATTCATATTTCTATTAATAATTATGGCAATTAAAAAATAAACAAAGAATAATCTCTCACCGCAATGGAGTGAACAATATTTTTGGTCAGTCTGTCTTTAGCTAATACAAACAAACTGGATTGTTTTCCCACGCGAGAACATGTCACATATTTCTTCGTGGGAAAAGCATGGTGTACCCA